TGAATACTTTGATCCTTCAAGCGGGCATGATTCTCTTCACTTCCCGATTCCGAAGTGGAGGGCATGAAGTTTATTGACTCGCTATGCACAGCTGTGAAAGTTAGTACATGCAGATCTTTACTGTTCTTCACGATCATGGCCAATGTCACACGGCGTTATCGCTCCGACCGCACGGTAGTACCGTACAGCCTGTGAGATTCCTGGGTTTCCCTGATTGTAAATTCGATGTTGGTTTTCTGAGGTCGCATGTTTCTAGGGGGTTATTGTGGCGACCTTCATAAAGTTTCGAAGCGACAGCCTAGCCATGTGCTATTCCAAACAGATGGCGGGTAGCAAGACAAGCACTAAAACGGCAGAAACTGCCGGGCGTTTTGTCACTCTTCTTACGTAGCTACCGGGCATCGTGACGATGGGTCTCATACGCCACGCGGAAACAGGAAGTACCAGCATTAATACCTGAGATATCGTACATGGTACACCGCCACCTCCGCACTCCACACTTTAGACTGCCTGTGGATTCCGGGGTAGGGGCAAGCTAAGCATTTCCAGGCACTATCGGCATATATTGGGACAAGAATGCAGGTGGGACCACATTCACAAAGATCTGCATGCCAGTCTGGATGAAAGGGATGCCCTGTTATGAGGCAGAAGGATCGCTGGTGCCAGCCTCTCTAGTTGAAAGTTTATCGCTTCTTGAAGCTAACCCTACTTCGCAACATCGAGCAAAACCTCGCCGCATCGTCTTGAAGTTCTTCATCACCATCTTTGGAGAGAGGAACCACCAAAATGCCCGATCTAACAAGCAGTCTGCTTTCCAATTGGAAATGCCTCGCGGCATGTACTCTCGTTTCCATGTCGCCGTTCCAATACGGTATCGACTTTGGTGCTATCGGCGGTCTACAAGCCATGCGCGGCTTTCTCGAAGTCTTTGGCCATCCTGATCCCATGACGCCTATAGGCTACAACATCTCTCCCGAGCGTCAGCAACTCATCTCGTCTTTGATGACACTGGGTGCTTTTATCAGCTCAATGTTCGCTGGTGTCTTCGCGAAGAAGCTGGGGAGGCGCCAATGTCTCTGGATGGCCAGTGCGCTTTGCTGCGTTGCGAACATTGTCATGATGACTACAACCAACATTGCGGGATTGTATTCTGGACGACTCTTGATTGGTATTGCAAATGGGTGGTATATGACCTTTTCGCAGCTTTACATCCAGGTCCGTATTCCCCTGCCTTCGGCCGGTACGTTACTGACATACGAGTAGGAATCAGCGCCAGCTCGATACCGCGGTCTGATGATCTCCGTTTTCCAGATCTGGACTTCGGTCGGCACGCTCATTGGCACTGTAATCGATAATGCAACACACGACATGAACGGTCGGAACTCGTATATCATCCCACTTGGCATGATCTTCATCGTCCCGGTTCTCATGTCTCTTGGCCTGTTCTTCATTCCCGAATCGCCACGTTGGCTGATTCTAGTCGACAAGCCAGCGCAAGCCGAGAAGGCGCTCTTGTGGATGCGTCCGCACCCCGAAAGCGTGCCTGGAGAAGTAGCAGAGATCCAAGCGGCGATTGATGCGGAGAAGGCTGTCAAGTCGAGCGCGAACTTCCTGGACATCTGGAAAGATCCTGTTGATCGTAGGCGCACGCTGTTGGCTATTGCTGCGGTATCGACTCAGGCTGCGTCGGGTGCCATGTTTGTGATTGCATACGGAACGTACTTCTTCCAGGTGAGTACACCGCTCCCATTCTTCTGAGTGAACTGGACTAACATTGAACAAGATGGCGAATGTTGGTAGCCCCTTCATGAACTCGTGCATATTGACCGCCGTCGGTGTCGTTGTAGTTATGATCAACAGCAGCGTTATCTCGAAGATCGGTCGCCGTCGCGTTTTCCTCATGACTGGTCTTTCTATCTGTGGTGTTACGCAACTTATCATCGCGGCTGTCTACCACGTCAACCCTGGCACGACAAGCACTGGAAAGGTACGTTTATCTTCATTTTATGGCCTATGCGAGCTTCTTACTGACCTATCCAAGGCTATTGTCGGTCTCTCAGTCATTTACATCATCGGTTACAACGGTATGATCGCTGCTTACGCCTGGCTTTCTGGCGGAGAAATCCCATCGCAGCGCCTGCGCTCATACACGTTTGGTATCGCATCGGCAGTCGCTTTCGCAGGTGCTTGGCTCACCACCTTCACTGCACCATACTTCATCAACCCCGATTCTCTCAATTGGGGCCCTGAATATGGTAAGACCTCCAGCTTCCCCTCTCTACAACTCAACCCCATACTAACATCATATGTAGGCTGGATCTGGGGACCATCTTGCTTCATCACAGCAGCATGGGTATACTTCTACCTGCCCGAGATCAAGAACCGCACTCTCGAAGAGATTGATGAGATGTTTGAGGCTAGGCTTCCGGCGCGCAAGTTCAGAAAGTACGTCTGTACTGGCCGTGTTGCAGCTGGTGTTGACGACAAGATCGAGAGGCGTGATAGCGACAAGGATGAGGTTGTGCACCACGAGGTTGTCGGTGCGGAGAAGAGTGGCTGAGCTATGACTTGCTGCAACGAGTGGATCCATTTGTAAGGAGATGTCGTCGCTTGACGCCTCTGGCTCGCACATATAGTTAGGCTTTGCTCTTGGGATCAATCGATTTTCTTGCTCCTTCTACTACGCGTTTTCTGCTTCGATGTCATTGCTGATGTGTCCCGGTGTTACTATCGAACTGACGCAAGGCTGGACGTGGCTTACGTGCCTCTGAGCTGTGCACTTTTTCGGAGACATCATAAAAGCCTGACACCATTTGCCACAGACACATCGTGAAGCATTTTCAATAAGCTTTAAAATCTTGTTGGGTGTATCCTTGTGAGGATTCCGCTCGATTTATCTACGTAGCAACAGCACTAGCCTTCTTGATCGACTCATCCCCCAGTTCCTCCGCATGCTTCTCAGCATCATGTTGGAATACCCAATCCTCTCTTGGGAACTGAATCAGTGTCGGGTCCTTCTTCACCTTCTCCCAGTCTGTCTTGTGCCACATGTCCCTCGTCGTCTCACCCGTTTTCTGCACAGCCTTGACGCGATCGTAGCGTATATCCTGGTACGCTCGTAACGCGCCTCGTACGTTATCCTTTCCAGCTTTTCGTAGCAACACGGCGAGTGTGACACCATCTTCGAGTGCTTGCGTCGCGCCTTGCGCACTTGTTGGAAGGAAGGGATGCGCTGCGTCGCCTAGCAAGCATATCCGACCGTGACCTGGCGCGGAGCCATAGCCTGAAACCCAGTTGGGCAACGGGTCCCGGTATACGAGTTTCCAGTCAACGAGTTTCTCTTCCGGTGTCTTGGAAACGATTTTCCAGCACATTGGATCCCAGCCGTCCAACACAGTCTTGACGTCTTTGAGGTAGCCGGGGAAGGACCAGGATTCGTCGATGTCGTGGTCGTCACGGTGGGTAAGCACCCAGCAGCAGTCGGTGCCGTTCTTGATGGTGCTGAATAGGAAGTGTACATCTGGGCCTTGGGAGTGTTAGCGTACGATTAGTCTTCAGAGTCGAAGAAGGCCTACCGATCCATCCGTTAAAGGAATCGCCGTTTTCGCAGAATTGCTTCGTCTCCGGGTCTGCGATCATGTCTTTATTGGTGAACCATGCTCGCCAGACAGCGTAACCACTGCTCTTTGGCTTGTCTTCATATCCCAACACTAGGGTTCTCGCCTTGCTTCGCACACCATCACTTGCAACCACGAGATCGCCAGCAACGCGCGTGCCATCTTCTAGCACGATGCCCGCCTCCTTCTCATCCTCCCAGTATTTCTCCACTCGTTGTCCCAAATTGATCTCGACGCCAATCTCCTTGGCATAGTTGAACACAATCTCGTGTAGTTCACCGCGGTGCCCGTTGAAGTTCGGCGCCTTCTCGTCGCGTGGTGGTGTCTTCTGGTTTATGACGATCTCGCCAGTATCCCATTTGTGGATGTTGAAGCCGTATTCGGTGAGATCGATCGAGATCTTACGCATGTCGCGCGCAACGCGTCCGTCACTCCAACGCGCGAAGATGCGCCCAGCATTGGGACCGAAGGTTATTATGTCGCCGAGGATCTTGAGCGAGGGGAATGATTCGTAGATGACGGGAGTGTGGCCGTGGCGGATGCATTCTATGGCTGCTGTGAGGCCGCCGAAACCTGGTGATGCATGTTACAACGGAGCTGTGGCATGGACTCTTGTGAAGGACGTACCTGCGCCGATAATGATGACTTTGATGCCAGTCTGTGGTTTTGCGCCATTGGTGACTGGACTGTTGTCGTTCGTCTCTAGAGAAGACATCTTAGGTAGTTTGGTCTCGTCTATTCGCGCACGGAGTGGCATGCGCGACTTCAATCAAGCTTCACGACTGGGCGGAATAAGGTAACACAACGCGATTCGATGCGAGAAGAGGTCCCAGGTATCCAGACGCATCGACCAGGTAATCGCTCGTGAGCGTGGGGCTCGGCAACCCTGCATCTACCGATGATATGGCCATGTACCCATCCCTCTCAGTAACTTCACCCAGGCGAGATGGAGCCGATGACCGAGGGTGCAAGCGCGAGTCGTGGCGCTGAGGGCCTGCAGGTGCTGGACGCCTCTCCCGGCATGTCCCCTCCGTGGGGTGGAGTCGTATCTGCCGGTTAAAGGATGTTGACGCGTGATGCGAGGTCATTGGGGACGCGAAGCATAGGTTATAGCTGCCCCACATTGGTGCTAACCTTCCCCGCCTTGTACCCCGCAACTTTCACCCCAACTGCACTTGTCCATTCCCAGCGCACTCTGCCCCGAAGGTGACACAGATGCTGTGAACATGGGCAGAACTTCGCGTACAGTCTCGATGCTTCCGGATGGAAGTTGCTGTGGTAAACGAGCTCAGTCCCAGGGATAGCGAGAGCGATACTTATGCACTCCCCTTGATAAGATTCTAAGGCTCAGGCTGTTACCCCTCAAGCATATCAAGAGCTAAGATGTCGACTCTAACTCATCCTGAATGGAATGAGAAGATGGGTGGTCGCGAAGTCGCGAAAGCTTTCGCCGAGCAGATTCATGGCAAGAATGGTAGGACGTCCATGTGCTCACGCTGTTGAAACCTGATGTTGACCTAAAAAAGTGCTCATCACCGGTGTATCCCCTGAAAGCATCGGTTCGTCTATAGCCCTCTCGATTGCCTCCCAAAATCCAGCGCTCCTCATCTTCGCCTCACGCACCAAGTCCAAACTGGAGGAGGTCGTGAAGAGCATCCAGGATGCCTATCCAGACGTCATAGTCAAAGTCGTACTCCTTGACTTGATGTCTCAAGAATCTGTCAAGGTCGCTGCAAAAGAAGTGTCGCAAATGACAAGTCGCCTGGATCTGATCATCAACAATGCTGGCATCATGACAACAGCGCGTCAAACCACCAAAGAAGGCCTCGAAGGTCAATTTGGCGCCAACCACATTGGCCACTTCCTCTTGACCGAACTGCTCATGCCTCAGCTTCTGGCCTCTGCTTCCTCCTCAGATGAAGGTGCCACCCGCGTCATCAACCTCACTTCTGCTGGTCATCGGTTGAGCCCTGTTCGATTCTCTGATTACAACTGGGAGAAGAGCAACGACGAGATACCCGAAGAAGAGAGGCATGCGCAACTTCCTCCGAAGTTTGCGAAGGGCGCAGATGATGGATACAACGGGTGGCTGGCCTATGGACAGGCGAAGACAGCGAACATGCTGTTTTCAGTGGGCTTAAACGAGAAGTACAGAGGAAAGGGTGTAAGAAGTTATGCGGTGCATCCCGGATGTGAGTACCCCGCTGCGCAAGCCTTTTGAGTGCGTAGTTTCAAAATCGCTGATGAGCTTAGCAATCTGGACTGGTCTCAGTCGAAATCTGGACGCGGATGGCGAGGCTGCGATCCGAAGTGTCAGTCCGTTCTGGAAAAGCCTTGATCAAGGTGCCGCGACGGTACTGGTTGCGGCGCTAGACCCAGCTTTGGACGGTAGGCGAAGGTTCAGTCCGCAAAACTAATACTGACAACGTACTAGAATCAAAGGGTATCATGCTGTCTGACTGTCAGATGTGTGATGCGATGCCATACGCGACCGATCCGAAGTTGGCCGAACGACTGTGGATGTTGAGTGAGAAGCTGGTGCAGGACAGTTTCAAGTTGTGAGGTAAAGCGATGGTCAACGAAGTAAGAGATCAATTGTGCAATGACAAAGTGAAGGGTAGGTAGGATGAGGAATGAGATTAGCGCTACCTAAGTATGGTCGAGAATCGATGCCGGTAGTGGCTGAGGAAAAGGATCACTGCATGATACCCATTTCGCGTTTTCCGTAAATGCCCTTGAATGATGCAGAGGTGTTTGTTTGTTGCGATATTCGTACCTAGTGGCTTGATAGTACTCCACCACCACTGTCCGATAAGATAAGCGTGCACGTTCCACCGCGTCTTTCCCTGATGTCACATTCCGAGGTTGACCACCATGCCCGACCATCTTCACTTCAAGTACGGCCCACACCTAGCACACAACGCGTTCCAATTCTCCCCTCGATATTCCGTGGCCTTCGCAGCGATGTAGATCCGTATCCGCGTTGTCTCTATCCCAGCAACAGACTCGGATTATTTGACGATCTCGAAAGCTATGTGTAGCTACAGCTGACCACCTACTTCATGCGAGAACAGACCCACAATGGTAAGGGCGTATCAAGGCCATGGCAGCTAATTTTGCTGGGATGTCGGCGAATACGCGAAGACGAACAGCATCGGTTATGCGAGAGGTATGCTGGAGCATGTCGCACTTCTGCTAGATTCTGACCCGAAGACTAAATTAGAGCGCAGATAATATCACCGCGTGATAGCACGGGAGCGGCACCGCTAAAGAACACGACCCGAGAACCTAATCCAACCGTCTGACAGGCCATGGCCTACCGATCCGAATTCCATACCCTACCCATCCTACACACCAGCAGCTGCGCGATGCATTTGGGTGATAAGCAGCTTGCTGAAGTCGATCGCACGAGTAAACTCGGACCAGGACATAGACGGGAACAGAGGCGAGCATGGACATGAAGAATTGATCGTTGCAGGCACTCGCGTACGGTTAGGCGGATATCGATTCGAACATGCACGCAAAACCAGTAATCGGCAACGATAACAGGCGGAACGGAGGGGCTGGATAGCGCAGGCAAAGGGAAGATGGACAAAGCGCTCTCAAAAACACTCTACTTTCGCCTGCGAAAAACAGCTTAGTCCTGCCGGACGACGGAGTCTTTCAAAGCGAAACTCGCATTCAACGGCATTTAATCACTTTTCACTATTATCTTCGTCTTCCTTTCGCCATTTACGGGGTTGCTTTCCTGCGACCGGTTTTCGCCTCTTTCTTACAAATTTGTCTCCAATACCCAGTCCTTGTTCCAGATTCGACATTCTCAGCGGCCCAAAGTCTCTGCTATCCTTTACTTTCGGGTGGCTTGCCAAATACGCATTGATCTCGGCCCTCAATGTTGCTAGATCTGGCCGATGCTCTTGCTCCCAGTTCATGCAGCGCGCAACCAACGACCTCAGCTCTTCCGAGTATTTGCTCAGTGCTGGAAAGCCCAAACCTTCAAACAGTTTCGCCCCGGGCTCGTCTAGTCGCCCATGATCCGCTTCGCCAATGTTCACGTTTTGCGGCATGTCTTCCGAGTAATGCAGTTCGCGCTGCGGACCAGCGACCGATCGATTCGCAATCATATACCAGACTGCTGCTCCAATACTCCAAATATCCGTCTTCTCATTCAACGGTGCTAAGTCAGGCGGAGTACCTCGTGCAAGTTGTTGCTCCTGATGCGATCAGCGCGGTTTGTTCTGGATGTCTCGATACCGAGCAAATTTGACTTACGGGAGGGTACTTGAAACTGGTGTGGCCCAGCACATATTCCTGGGGGTTGTCTGTAGGTCTCACCGTGGGATCGCTCTGCTCTAGAGCATACATTGCCATACCAAAGTCGCTCAAGACACAGTTTGGGTAAGCATCGTCAGCCGCTGGCTCCAAGAAGATGTTGCTCAACGAGATATCGAGATGCGTGATTGGTAACCAAGCCGACTCCGTAGTCGCGGGATCTTTCGATCCCGTTTGGAGTACCAGGCATGCATCAACAAGCTGCGACAGAACATGCCAGACCAAGCTCTCTGGTACGACTTTGAGGCGCTCAATTTCATCCGTTGCTTGTCCTCTTTTCCATCGGTCAAAGTGCTCTTTCAATCCCTGGAATAAATCGCCACCTTCACAGAAGTCCAGGTACAGTTTGAAGCGGCGCTGCTGCATTATCAATCTGTACCCTAAATGCCTCAACAAGTTATCATAGCCTGAGGTATCAGCGCCAGCGGCGGGTCGATTCGCGTCAATACGCTCATGTATGCGAATTTCACGCGGAAGATAATCTCTCCAATACGCTGGATCCCGCCATTTCCAGTTGTGTGGGCGGACTTCTTTAACGACCATTCTGGCCGTCACGATGTTGTTGTCGTCGACTGCGCACCACAAACCTGCACATCCAAAAGTGCCTGCACCTAGAAACTTCCCGCCTATCCACCTTCTTCCGTCGCCATATGGATCATGGGTATCATCCATCCACTTTTCACCGTTCTCGGGCTCTTCTTTAGACTTGATGGCTTTTATGGTCATGCCTAAAGTCGCGTCATCTGGCTCCGCGTCCCACGGCTTAGGTGGCCAGAAGTCGAAGGGATATCGGTTCACCGGCCGCTGTGGCGGGATTGTAACAGCATGGACAGGCGCTACAATAGGCCCAGCAACGACCGCAACGGGCGGTGGCACAGTCATCGCAAGCGCGCCGAATCCTGCTGGAGCATTCACCCACGCTGGCTCCGACCCTCCCAACCCATCACGATACGGCGGCATACTCTTATTTGCGCGCACGAACGTGACGTCGCTCGCATTGAACGGGTTATCTGGTATAGGGTTTGGTGTTGGTAGACCAAATAATTCTCGTCGCCCGATCCGCGCGTTGTAGTAATCGCGGATAATTCGACTACCATACCATAATGTATTGACCGTGTTGTTTTGCTCGGCGCGGCTCCATGTGACGGTCAAGGCATTGATGGGGAAGTAGGCTTCGCAGTCGCGTTTGAAGTAGGGCAGACCGGATTTATAGGGTGGTGACTTCCGTGGCATTGGTGGATGTGCTAGAACAACTTGTCATTCGATTTGTCTCCCAAAAGGCTATATCGGCAAGGTGCGTTCAGGACTACAACGGCCGAACAAAGAGATGCAAACTTCCTGTTGCGGCACTTATGCCGACGCCGGGAGATGGCTGATGCGGAAGGACAAAGACACAGATGCAAGCACGTATTTACAGATAGGTTAGTGGATATTGTGAAGTCGTTGCCATAGCTATGGGCGCGTACAGATGTCAAAGTCGCGGATCGATCTGCCAAGACTAAAGCCGCGTCTAATTCATAGGGTTCCCAATAGCGAATTCCAAATCTCGAACGACCTCTAGCGACCCCATATTCCGATCATTCGCAACACCCGGGTGCGTCGTAAGGAAATCATCGATCCTATTCCTCATCTCCAATAACGTCGGCCGTTCACTCGATTGCCATGCCAGACACTCGAACGCCAATCGCTTCAGATCCTCGCTGTAACGTTTGAAAGTAGGAAAGAAATACATGTCATTCCACGGGTCATCGTCTGGGTCGACGATGGTTCTCAGGTCGCCGGCGAAAGGTACAGTTACGTTAAATTTCTCGACAAAGCGACATGGCCCTTGGCCGAGAGGGGGGAAGAAACCATTGCTGAGTAATGAGTAAAGTACTGCACCACTAGGGTTGTAGTTAGTAAAATTCGAACGGTTATTCTATGGTGGTGTACGTACATCTGCCATACATCTGTCTTTTCGTCTAGGGGTACTACCCCAGCGCTTTCTGCTGCGTCGTTGACTACAAACTGGTGTTCCTGCATCTAATTAACTTTGTAAAAACATACGGATTGTAGCCTTGTTACTCACAGGCGCAAATCGTTCGTCTTTCATTTCCCTGACATACTCATATGGGTTGTCAGTTGCAGGAGCACCCATGTCCGTAAACGAGAGGCCGAAGTCTGCCAAGACGAATGTTGGGTACTGGGCCGGTTAGCGCACACGATCTCCAACGTATCCTGCGAAGGTTGTTCACAAACCTCATTCTCGTTCTCCTTATCCGCTAGCTTGATGAAGATGTTGTCAAGTCTTATATCGCAGTGTTTGATCGGTTTCCACTCAGGTGTGGTGTTCTGCACACCTCCAATACTGACCTGGCCGAAATGCAGGATCTGACACGCTTGAACGAGCGAGCTAGCAATTCTCCAGATAAGGCCTTCGGATATCTTCTCACACAATCCCGCCTCGCCGGGCACCGCTTCTGAGTCACGGTAGCAACCGAACTCCTCATCCCAGTCATAATCAAGCCCTGGTTCCTCGCCTTGGGTATAGAATGTCTTCATTCTGGTGCAGTGCTTTTCTAAAGCATACCAAAGATTGCCGCCTTCGTAGTAGTCGAAGAAGATGCGATAACGCCGCTGGGTCATCATCAAGCGGTAACCATGATGTCTGACCAGAGTTTCATGATCAGAACCAGCGGGCTCATCGTCGCTATCAGATACCCCGCGACCGTTGTCGACTAGCTGGTGCATGTGGATCTCGCACGGCAAGTGATCTCGCCAAAAGCAAGGGTCACGCCATTGGATCTTGTCAGGCCTCGCTTCCTTGATAACCATCCGCTGTTCTTTGTCAGCACGCTCTCTCAAACCCGAGTAATGATCCTATGCCTGAAGTCACATACCCTTGATATGTTACCTTGGGCATCACTTTGACACCACAATCCCGCACAGCCAGAGGCCCCAGCGCCGAGAAACCTCTTGTTCTCCCAGTTTTGCTCATCTTGGATTGGCCAAAAGAATGGCTTTGTAGCCATCCAGTCTGCTCTAGGGCTCTCCTCAAACACGTCATCCTTGATGGCCTCGATCGTAATTTCCGGACCGATAGAAGCGTCTTCTGGATCTGCGTGCCACGGCCTGTTGGGCCAAAAGCTGCAAGGGTAGGGTTGAACTGGAGGAGCTGCCGGATGAGCTGCCAGAGGAGCTGCAATGACAGGAGCTGCAATGACAGGAGCTGCAATGACAGGAGGCGCAGCACCAGGTAGCTGCCTAGTTGCCCTTGCTAAGTTTACATCATTTTGGGTCCATGGTGCGGCTGGCACCTGATGCTGTTGCAGCATAGGATACTCAAACCTCTTCCCAACTCTTCGAAGGAAATAGTTTTGAATGACCATGTCTCCATGCCACAAGGTCTGAGCAGTCAATCTAACATCATCTAATAGAGTAAGCTACCATCTCAGCATGCCCATCTTGGAAGGCTTACCCCTTGACCATCCTGGTCGGTGAGTCTGACACCATTTCTCGAAAGTCCTTTTAAAGTAAGGTTGCCCGGTTTTGTATGGTGGTCCTTTCGTCATGATGACGTGTAAGGTGTTTTAAGACTTCTGAAGCTATAGTGTAGTCCAGAAGGGGCTTTGTAGGGTGCATCTAGCTATTGAGAGTTCGCATCTTGAATCTCCATCAGCTTCTATACAGTTTGCCATATCTATGGCATCAAACATGGGTCTTCGGCACATGTTGCGCTGTATTTGCTTTGTGTATGTCTTCTGCCGTTGGGGTCAATGATGAGCAACAAAGGAACAAACCGACAAAGGCTATCGTGAGGCTGCATGCAGAAATCAAGCCCACAAAGAATACCAACTATTTGCTCAGTCATTACTTCACATTTTTACCTGCTGTTTACCTTATGTGACCTCCACTCAGCGTCAAAGCGCATATCGGGGGAGCTGTAGTGCTGCACATGTCCCGGTTCTGGATCAGGGGAGGAGGACGAGTCGCTTCATTACTCCCGAGCATCATAAAGCTTCGTTGCGGATCGACTTTGGGATATTGCAAACGCGTTGGTGAGTTTCTAGGTGGATCAAGCAGAGTGCCGTTGTCGCGTCGAAAGTACCTCCAGGGCTGGGTAGATGAGACAGCCATGACGTCATCACTCTCGAGAAAATCGCGATTGCAGTGCTGTCAACCCATCTTTCATCAAACAGCATCCGGGTCGACCTCGACGCCATCACAACTTTGACACGGGGTGTCGCGTGATCAGAGTAATTGAGAAGCGCCTAAATGGTATTCAGCTGGATATGCATGGAGGCTACTGAGCTTCGGCAGACCGCTACTCTTGACCCTTTCCAGTGTCGGTTCAGGCACGTCCACAACCGCTGAGATTTTGGAGAAGCTCCTCATCAGCGTGAGATGTCCTGAAGATGATACTTAGGCCCCACTGTCACATCATAGGGTCGCTTTGATACCCGCTTCAACGATGGTAATGCGTCACTCTTTGTTCCTTGGAACATGCATATGAAGTACATTCCTACAAGTAACCCGTGCACTTGTCATTCTGCATCAGGATGGAGTTTGGTGAGTGAAGCGATACCGCTTGTGTCACGGCTTTGTTCACGCTCTAAACACATACGATGAAGGATCGTAGATGAGTATTGTTGATCTCCTTTTGGATGCGCGTCAAACTGTCTGCACATCCTCAAAGAAGCCGAGATGCAGTAGCAATGGCCGGAGTACCAGGGTAGCGTTGGCCGTGTTATCTGGCGATTTTGGACGGATGCGCATAGTGGTGTTTGATTCAAGCTTGTGTAGTCGGCCTTTTCCACCACATCCCTACACCACTTGGGTGAAATATCTATGTCCAGACACCCTGGGTATTTCGTGCATATCAGGCACGCTGTGATCCAAAAGTACAGTGCCTAATATGGGTATTGACTAGTCTCTATCCTTTGGCCTAGATGTTGATGTGCATCTTAGGTCGGCCCAGCCATAGTGTTGTTCATTCCGTTGGCCCGTAACCAAGGCAGTATCGCGCGGATTTGCATGAAGGTGACTGTATCGCGGAAAGGATATCGATCGCATACGCCAGTTTGAGTAGCGACTTCGGTTGGGTGTCGCGCATCGAGACGGTGGGGATTTGGATATCTCGAGGTTTGCCGGAGGTTATTCGTGGGCCTGTTACGCTATGGTGTTAACATTAGGACAGTAGCATAATGAATCATTACCATGAATGACAAGAAGATCTCTGACCCAGTAGGGTAGCTGGTGCGCAATACAATCGGGTCAGATGTTGTAGGACGTTACGCGTTTGACGTGTGGGGCTGCTGCTGTCGACAGACCAGCCTGTCTGAAATATAACATATGGCATCGTGTGGCATACGACTGCGACTTTGTCGTTTCAAGAGTCGCGTAATCTCTCGAAGTTCCGTGTTAGGCGCGCCATGCAGACTGCTACGGCGTGTGCATAGCATTTTGCGTGATTTGGAGCGTCGCGTCCGCAAGAACCTTGGAAGCCGGCGGAAGACTAGCGGACCAACTATGTGTTGCGTCTCCGGAGGTAGCGTATCGCAAGACCAGAGAGTATTAGCTGAGATGTCGCAATGTGTACACAGCTGCGTGAGGTGTGGAAGGCGGGCTTGATGCTGAAGAACGCGCCGCGACGCGTGACGCTGTTGAGCCCCACCAAGGCCAGTCAATCTTGGCATCATCACCTTCTTTGTCGTTTACAGGTACCATCTACTACACCACTTACATCATTTGCACACACTGCAGCAATTCGTCGCTCATCCCCTCATCTGTATAGCCTCGTCATAGGCTCTACGTGACTCTATAACTCATGTCAACGCTCGATGCGTGTTTAGGCATCGTCGCGTCTCCATTTCTCTCGCAACGGGACACTGGCCGTCACCCTTCGACAGCTTCAACACTAGGTGATTGTCAGGAACACACGACGTGAGCCTTTCGCCAAGTTATTCGTAGACGCTACATGAAGTCAACGGCTATACGTTCGTACACAACCATGCCAGCAAGTTCGCATAATACCGCACGTGCAGCACAGCCTCTCGAATCCGAAGTTGAAGTTGTAAAGGCACCCTTACCTACGTACCCCCCGCATGTCATGGATGGAAAAGCGCTTGCGGATGATGTTTAACATCTCAAAGATACGGTATCCCTAGAACTTGCGCTTGCATTACAATGACCAACTAGAAACACCGTTTGAGATTGGATCTATGCAATAGTCTTACTGTTGCTGGTACAGTAGCTTCAAATCCGACGTTTCCTTTTCGTCCTGCTCATCTATCTCAACAATCTCATTTCTGGTATCCACAAAATCATGTTCTCGGTCAATTCTCCTGTGGACTATCCCCCTCGTCCTTGGTATCTTTTCCCTTGACCTTAGGCTTCAATGTCACTGTGACCATCTTACGTTTCTCTGCTCCGTCACTTGTATCTTTCGGCACCGGCGTGGCCATAAACTTGAGTGAGCTCTTGCCCTCTGATGCTGCACTCTGGCCGCTCTCTCCACCTCCTGCTCCTTTTGCGTTGGAAGCTTCGGCGTCATTGCTTGGCGCCTTAGGGCGATAGGCGTGTAGTGCTGTGCTGTAGCTGTAGCTTGAGCTAATATTTTGTTCTTCTTCGGACATCTTCTTATTGTCGGGGTTGCGGTAACTGTTTGATCCTGAAGGCATTTTGGGGATTTGTTTTGGTTTGAGGGTCCCTAGGTATCTTGTATCCGAATTATTCGAGGGACGGGGAGTAAATCGCTGAGATTGTCTTATGGCTGCCACTGAATACAGCGTGTAAGGATCGATGTATCGATGTGAATTGATATAGAGGCTTGATACCGAAGGAGAATAGTCCTGAAACCTCAATTTATACTACACCATGACTCCGCGAATACGTGTGACTGTCGCGACATAGTCACAACATGTTGTAATCATGCTCTGGAAACCTCCGAATGTTGTCACAACTTGAGTCCTCGAGGTTAGGGCCAATGGTCGACCGTATTTGATGACGTTGATTCAAAGGAACCAACGCACCGCTTCGGATTTCTCACGTTATAAACTGGACATAATGATTTCTTTTGTTGGTGGATTAAGAGATATCTGTGTATTTTTAGATTGAGGTAATGTGAGGCTTAGACTGTAACTGCCAGCGTCAAGTCTCGCCAGTATGAAGAAGGTCCTTGGTACAGCAGATATAGTGCACGCGTGTACCTTTTATATTATACTGTGACCCTTCGTGTAACCATTGTCAGTGGCATACCGCCCGAGTTGTGGCTGGTGCGCTGCAGTCATGACCCGGGAGGACGTGTGAATCAACATTACTGGGCTCACTTTGTGATCTTTGGGCCCTTAAGCGGGGTTGAGGTCTATGACTTTAGCTCAATCTTCAGCCGATCCAATAGCTATCCTGGATCAATCGAATGACTGATAGCTTGACTTGCTCTCCACAGCTCGCATACTGGCGACGGCTGAAACCCACCATATCGCGTGACTAAAACCTGAATGAAAAGTATGATTTCTCGCTCAACCTCGTCGAACGATGAAGCTACAGCCTCCAAGTACGTC